CGTAGTAGAAAAAGGCAAGAAGAGGCAAAGAACAAGTTGTCGAAAAAATATTTTAATTTTGGATAAGTTAAAAAGTTACCGTTAGAAATTTAGTATAGAATTTGAGTTTACTTCAATTTGGATTCAAAATAAGTTTTGTCTTGATTTGGTATAGATTTGAGTCGAAGGTTAGAGAAGTTTTTTGGACCATTTAAACTCAAATTTGAATTTGAGTCAAGGTTGGAGATGCTCTAACATACTCCTATGTGAGTTGGACTTGTATTTAATTTTGGATTTTAGTAAATTTCAACTTAGAGATAATGAGATGTGAGTACCTTTTTCAAAATTTATTTGGCTTTAAGTACCAGCTCTAAACTTATCCTCTTTTAAGTCCTCTTTTTTATCAAATAGTTGTCAATAAGTACACATTTTAAAACATTTTCAAATTCTTTCTAAAATATATTCCATAATACCCCTACCATAAATAGTGCATATCTAGTTGAATGTGAAATTTTCAAAATTAGAATGTGAAACTTTCAAGATTCTTTTTGATATTTGTGTATCATTTGAAATTTGAAATTTCATACACACACACACACATATATACACACACGTGTTACTGTTTGATGTTACTCTTTTTTGTTGAGCGTTCACTGTTTGATGTTACTTTTTTTTTTGTTGAGCGTGTTACTGTTTGATGTCACTGTATTATGCACGCGCGCGTGTGTATATATATATATATGAAATTTTAAAATCCAAATGATATACAAATATTAAAAGGAATTTTGAATGTTTCACATTTTAATCTTGAAAGTCTCACATTCAATTAGGTATGCACTATTTATAGTAGGAGTAAAAGGGATTTTATGACTTTTTTTTAGCATATGTACTTCTATCCCAATTATTTTAAAAAGTGTACTTTTATCTTATTAAATTTTTTGGGAGGTATCGGCCTTCCTAAGCCCCTTGAACTTAAGCATTAATGAATTTGGACTTAGGCCCATTCCAATTTTATTTAAAAAAGCATTCAATGTGCCTGGAGTCGACGATAAATCAAGATCTCTAAAAAATAAAACCTTTTTTTATCATAAATTAATTATTTTATAAAAATTCTAATTAATTAATTCAAATATACAAAATCAGTTATTTTACTTGTATGAAATCACAAGCATTCGATGTTCGTGACACAATGAATCAAGAAATTTTACAGAGTAAAATTTTTATTAAAAGACATGAAATAATTAATAAGAGAAATCGTACCTTAAAAAAATATTAGGTCAAAAATAAATACCATGTTTTATTAAAAGAATCACCCCTAAATTTAATAAAACAAAAAACTAGAGAGAGACACTAAAGCTAGAATAATTCTTACTTAGAGTTTACAAGAGCTTTTATAAGGATTAGGAAACTAAGAATACTAAATGGAGTCAAAAATTTGTTTTTGACCAATCTGTTCATCGTATACGAACGCGTGTTTTGAGTCGTTCAGACGCACTACTTTATGTTAGTTTTTTTACATGTTGAGTCCGAACATGCATTTCTATGTTCAGACATGGATAAGTTTTTTCCCAAACTTTTAATGCAATTTTGACATAATTAGAGGCCGATTCACAAAATATTCATTAAATAAACTTTTGAAACCCTTAAATTCTACTTTCCAATGCCGCAAAGATTAGGTCAATTGGATGTCGGAGTAAATTCTACTTTATATATTTCTAAATGATCACTTATAATTGCTTATAATTTTTTTACCACATTTAACCACTTCAATTTTTTTATTTAAACATAATTAACCATATATATTTCTCTATTTCAATATCTTTCATCTTTTAGGTCTTTTTTTTATTTTTGTCTATTTATACACACGCACTGTGTGTATACCTAAGCATAAATCTATCTATAAAACTTATATGCAACTAAGCGTGTTAATTAAATAGTATTTTTGATTAATAATCTAACTTCATGTGAAGTTTTTTTATTATATTTTAATGTAATTGAATTTTGATTAGGCCTGTCAAAATTCAACACGACACGATTAGCTGACATGGATTAAATGGGTTTTGGTGAAACTTTAATGGGTTTGGGTGATAAACGGGTTGACCTGTTTAACACGTTTAATAAATAGGTTATGTTCATGTGAGACATGTCAATCCGTTTATAACCTGTTTACCCGCTTAAATAAAATTAAATTAACAATTATTAATTAGATTATGTAACGCCCCAAAAACCACCTTGAACGACATTACAATTTAAAATCATTCACATCATAAGAGCAACTAATATAATCCATCAATAAATAAAAATTCATTCATCATATCTAATATTTACAACATCATCCCAAAAGAATATGCCCAACCATGATAATTACATCCAAAGGAATCAAATTTAACTTGCAGAGGAATAACAAAAATATTAGACTCCACCGAGTCTTCAAAGGAATTTCCTACTCTAGCACCTAGGAGAGTATAGCTCTAAGCATCCACCTTGGGTTCCACTTGCCCGTCTAGCGAAGCTTTCCAATGCACCTATTCATCGACTCTGTGCTTCTCATCTAACACGTAATCTGTAAATATATTGTTTGTAGGGGGTGAATACTAAGCTCGTAGCAACATTCCTTCCAAATTCGAACAAGGTTTAGAAAACATGTAAAACAAGTCGGTCTCATTTCGCAAATATCATATATTAATTTTTGAAAGAAAATAGGAACATTTTAATAGATCTCAAGTTTACACAATAACAATAAATTAAATGAAGTAATAATGCCAAATTACAAATAACAAATCATTTCCAACCATAAACCATTTCCCACAAGTTCTTGTAGAATCTCATACTTCCACAAGCTCTTGTAGAAAACCGTTTCTGGTACAATAAACTATTTTTCACAAGTTCTTGTAGAGTCACATACCTCCACAAGCTCTTGTAAGAAACCAATTCCACATAATAACAATAATCGTTCAATAGTATCATCTCATATTCTCATGTATGTTGGTTGCTTCCCATTAATTTGCACAACTATTCTACCTCGTTCATCCAACCATAACCACACAAACCACTTTAGAAAGGGCGTATACCGCCTTCCACGGCATTGACGAATCCTTCCCAAGAAATGTATATTATCCCTAAACCTCGAATTTATATGAACAATAGTGGTGGCTTTCACAAACAATAAACCACTACAAGTGTTAGGAAATCATCTCACCCCCATTTATTTTTTTCTTCTTGGAACGTAATCTTCAACCTTTTGACAGACAACATCTAAATAGGAGACCAACTCATGTCCTATCATATTCCTTTGGTTTTTGTCATCTTCAACCTTCCCTTTTATTCTAACCTACATTTTTTGCATAGTCTTCTAGATAGTTTGAATGTTCTTCAATGACATTCCTCAAAGGTGATATTGTCGCCTGTTGTTCTTAAACAAGAAAAATGAAAGTGGACAAAACTTAAAATTAAGAATTAAAACAATAGGTATTCGTTGCTGGGAGAGGCTCTGGTCATTGTTCATCCGCCAAATTTCAAGTCTCTGAACCCTAGTTTTCATGGCAAAAAGAAGACCATTTTTGAGCAACTTTCAGAGGTGGTCATGCTCTCTTCTATGGCGGAAGCCACCGGTATCTTTGGTATTGTTGCTCATGTGGTGTTGGAGCACATGTCAAAGAAAGTTGACTTATTGTTTCTATAGCGTCTAGCCACAAAAATCGGATAGGAATGCGGAAGAGTTTTTGGTAATGCGAAATACCTATCAATTTTCTCATTCTTACCCTACCCTACCCGCATTAATTAATTAATTTATATATATATATATATATATATATATATATAACAAAACCTAATTGCTAACCATCATCTACACTCTACAAACAGCGAGTGGCACGCCTCCTCAGTCCTTTCCTCTTGCCTGCCTCACTCCACAATCTCCATTCCTCTCCATAGCTCAGGCCGTCACTCCACTCTACTCCACTCCTAAGTCCTCTCCTCTTGCTTGCCTCACTCCACAGTCTCCACTCCTCTTCATAGCTCAAGCGATCAGGCCTTCATCATTCAGGCCTCCTCAGGTACTTTCTCTCTCTCTCAGTCCTGCCCATATAGCCATTTCAGTCATTTTAGTCCTCTCATTTTGCCAAAAATTATTCGAATACTTTCTTCAAAAATATTCAAATAATTTTGCCAGTTAAATGGGTCTGTGATTTTGAATAATTTCATCAATTTATTTGTGGGTTAGGTTTTGTTTTATGCTAATTGAATGAAATATTAGGTTAGTTAAATGGGTATGTGATTTCCCCACATGAATTCTAGAGTTGGTGGGTACTTTGTGCTTAGTTGATTCTGAATACTCACAGTTAAGAGCGAATCTGATTATTATGCTGATTCACATGTGTGTGTAATTTTGTTATTCTCGTTTAATCAGATTTACTTTGTGGGTTACTCTTGTTTAGATTATTATGCCTTCACCTTCTTGTTTAGCTTGTAATCTGATTATTATGCTGATTCACTTGTGTGTGTGTAATTTGGTTTTTTGTGTAGGTTACATGATTTGTGATGAACTGGTGATTTATTGGAACAGTTATGATTTTAATGTGTTTCATATTGTTTAAACTTAAAATAATTGTTATTATATTTGTATAACAATTATGATGGATTGATGTTCATGCTTTCTTGTATTTAATTATAATTGTTGTTGTAATTATTTTAGGTTTTAGTGTTTTTGATTTATTGTGTTGTGAAATTGGAGTATGTTATTAAATTGAATTGTTAAAATGATTCAAAAATTAATAGCTACAAAAATGTTTACCCGACTTCCTACCCAGATTGGGGTAAGAAGTCGGGTAGGAATACCACACCTGATCAAGTAGGGTAGGCCAAGAAAAAATTCTTCTGTAAAGTATTGGGTAGGAAGACGGAAAACTATATTTTCTATCCATAGGGTAGGTTAAACATCCGTAGTGTTGTTCACGCTATGTTGGAGCAATGGCCAAATAAAGTTGGCCTATTGTTTCTGGAGCCATCGTTGGTCTAACAAGAGCGAGGAGCTTCATCCACTGCTTGAGAATATTTTTAGCATGGAAAAACTCATCAAAATATTAATAGATGATAATGAGATCAATGAAGGTGCTAAGAAGGAGAAGAAGAAAGAAAAAGAGTTGGAGAAGGAAAAGGAGGAGGAGGACCCCAATTCCAGCGAGTTAGATTGATGAGTATGTTTATTAAGTTTTTTTTTTAACCTAAACTGACTTCTCTTGACTATTTTACATTTAACGATATTTAATTGACAAATCGACTATAAATAGGTATAAAAATATCTTTTTCATTTTTGTTGTCAATTAAAGATATGTTATGATTGATAGAACAACACCTGTAAATTATATTGGCAAGGACTCGAGAGGCAGAAATTAGACAAACTTAGGCACCACAACCATTGTACAGATTGTCATATATGCATGCACAATAAAAAGTAATGCTATGAACATCATTATGTTTATATTTTAACCTCATTAATTTTGTAGAGATATTTTAAAATATTGAAATATTAATCTATATTGGTCTTTCAGCTTGTTGCGTCCGAACGCGCGTTCCTAACCATCCAAATGTGTTGAAGTTTTTTAGCCAAACTTTCAACGTAATTTTGATATAGTTGGAGATCGATTCACAAAATTTTAATGAAACACACTTTTTAAGTTCTTGAAATCTATTTACCAATGCCACAAAGATCAGGTCAATCAAACATTTGAGTATAAAGTTATGACTAACATATGGAAGGACCGAAATAGTGTCAAAATTTTTCCTTCCCGAATTCTTACCAATGTGTGATAAGAAACATTTGTATGTCTAATTTTTTTTATTTACTTTATTACTATGTATAGGTACAAAAGTTCTTTTATCATTTATTTATTTTATTATTATGGATTATTGGTTTTTACAAATCGACTTTAGAGCAAATCTTGATATGTCCAAATTTGAATTCAATAAAAAATTTGAGCTCTAACTGTGATCCATTTATTCAACGGAATTCAAAATTTTAATTCATATCCGAATATGTTATCAATTTGATATTAAATTTGATTACCCGATCCGATTTGAAAATTTTGAATCCCAACAAAATTTCATAAAAATTAATTATTTTACCAAATTAAAGTTAAATTTCGACCTAATTTAATTAACCAACCATTATATTGAATAATTTATGTTTAATTTCATGTAAATCTCATTAATAATCTAACTAAACATATATTTATATATCTATTTTTCTTAATTAAATGTGATTTATAAACTTTTAAGAATGGTTGATTAATGAAATTTTTATAAAAGAAACTTTTGATGCTCTTTAAGTCTACTTTTTAATACCATAAAGATCAAGTCAATCAAACATTAGAGTAAAACGTTAAGACTAAAATACTGAGGGACCAAAATAGAGTCAAAAATTTTCCTTCCTAAATTCTCACCATTACGTGATAAATTTTTTTTGTTTATCTCAATTTTATTTATTTTATTGCTATGTTATAAATACAAAAGTTCATTTCTTATTTATTTGTTTTATTACTATGGATTAAAGTCGTCCATGGATCGAATTTTATTATGTCCTAATCTGAATCTAATAAAAAATTTGAGCTCTAAATTTGATCTATTTATTATATAGATTTCAAAATTTTAATCCATATACGTATCTGTTATCAATTGGATGTTTAATCCGACTACCCAATCCGATTTGAAAATTTGAATTTCAAAAAGAATTAATAAAAAATAATTATTTTACAAAATTAAAGTTAAATTTCAACGTAATTTAATCAATCAATTATTCCATTCAATAAGTTTTGTTTAATTTCATGTAAATCTCATTAATAATCTAACTAAGTATATATTTATATTTCATAATTTTTATAATTCAATATGTTTATGTATCGGATCATATTTTTATTAGTTTGAATTTATATGTATCTAAATTCAAAAATATTTAATCACATTTGCACTGAATTTAGATAAATAAATTGAAATACTAATCTATATTCGATTAAATGGAGTTTAATTTGGATTAAAATCCATTTTATTGACTAACCAACTATAAATATGTACGAAAGTGTCTTTTTTAATTTTTTTTATCGGTCAAAGATATATTGTGAAAACTATATTGGAGAGGGACTCGAGAGATGGAAATTGGTTGAAATCAGACGTCACAATCATTGTACATAACATTACATACACAAGCACGATTGAAACTAATGATATGCATGCCATTTATGTTTATAGTATAAAGCTCATTATTTTTGCTGAGATATATTAAGATATTGAAATTTTAATCTATATTGCTCTTTCTGCTTATTGCGTCTGGACGCGCGTTTCTAGCTGTCCAAACACGTGTAAGGTTTTCGACAAATGTTTTTACATGATTTTGATATAGTTAGAGACCGATTTAGACACTTTTGAAACTCTTGAAGCCTACTTTCAATGCCACAAAGATCAAGTCAATTAAACATAAAAAATTAAGACTAAAATATTTAATTACCAAAGTAGTATCAAAATTTTTCCATCTCGGATTCTTACCAAAGAAAAATTTGTTTGTCCCAATTTTTTATTTATTTTCTCACTATATATAGGTGCAAATGTGTCTTTCTCATTTAGTTGTTTTATTACTATGTAATAGTGTTTTCAACTGGTCGAATTTACACCGGATTTTGATATGTCCAAAATTGAATCTAATAAAAAAAATTGAGCTCTAAATTCGATCCATTTATTCAAAGAATTTCAAAATTTTAATCTATATCTGTATCTATTATGAATCAGATATTCAATCTGACTACCCAATCTGATCTGAAAATTTGAATTCCAACAAAATTTCACAAAGAAGTTAATTATTTACCAAATTAAACTTAAATTTAAACCTAATTTAGTCAACCCATCATTCTATTTAATAATTTCTTCTTAATTTCATGTAAATCTCATTAAAAATCTAACTAAGTATATAGTTATATATCCTAATTTTTTAATTAAATATGTATATATATTGAATTGTATTTTTATTAGTTTGAATTTATATGTATCTAAATTCAAAAATATTTTAAAAAAATTAATAACACATGGACTAAATTTAGATAAATAGATTGAAATGTTAATCTATATTTGATTAAATGGACATGAATTCGGATTAAAATCCCTTTTATAGACAGACCAATTGTAAATAGGTACAAATGTATCTTTTTCATTTTTGTTGTTAATTAAAAATCTGTTGTGATTGATGGAACATCACCTGTAAACTACATTGGGGAGGTACTCGAGAAACGGAAATCGAGCGAAATCAAGTGTCACAATCATTGTATAAAACGTCACACACGCACGCATAATAGAATGTAATATTATGTGTGTCATTTTGTTTATAGTGTAAACTTCATTATTTTTACTGAGATATCTTTAAATATTGAAATATTAATTTATATTAGCTTTTCTGCTTGTTGCATTTGGATATCCGTTCCCAACAGTTCGGCGCGTGTAAGTTTTTAAGTCAAACTTTCAACGTGATTTTAATATAGTTAGAGGTCAAAATTTTCATGAAAGACACTTTTGAAAATCTTGAAGACTACTTTCCAATGCCAAAAAGATCAGGCCAATCAAACATTAGATTAAAAAGTTAAAACTAAAATACTGAGGGATCGAACTAGTGTAACAATTTTTTCTCTCCGAATTCTCACTAATGTGTGATAAGAAAGAAAATGAATGTCTCATTTTTTTAATTATTTGATTACTATGTATAGGTATAAAAGTTCATTTCTCATTTATTTTTTTTATTACTATGGATTAGTGTTTTTAACGGATCAGATATAGATCAGATTTTGATATGTCAAATTCTAAATTCGATAAAAAATTTGAGCAAATCCATTTAATTGATTGAATTTTAAAATTTTAATCCATATTTGTATCTGTTATCAATCAGATATTCAATCTGACAACCTGATCCGATTTGAAAATTTAATTGAATTTAGATTAAAATCCATTTTATTGATAGACCAACTATAATAGGTTTAAAAGTGTTTTTTTTTCATTTTTGTTATCAATCAAAGATATGTTGTGATTGATGGAACAACATTTGCAAACTACATTGCAGAGGGACTCGAGAGATGGAAATCGAGCAAAACTAAGCGCTACAACTATTGTATGGAACGTCACGTACGCAGAAGGCGCAATTGAAAGCAATGCTAAGCGCGTCATTATGCTTATAGTGTAAACCTCATTATTTTTGCTGAGATAACATAAAAATTTATTTTTATTTGGTTTTATTTTTAAGTAATAATTTAAACTTGTGTTCAAATTTTTGATATTGAATTTAAAAAATTAAGATCAGTTTAATTGAATTATTTATTTTTTTTCTTCTTTGAACATGATCTGTAACTTTTGACAAACAGTGTCTAAGTCTAAAGAGGAGATTGGCCCATATTGTCATCTTCAACCTTCCCTTTTACCCAAACCAATGCCTTTTGTACAATCTTCCAAATAGTTTGTAGGTTCTTTAATGACATTCCTCAAAGGTGGAGCCGCCGCCTTTCGTTTCTCAAACAAGAAAAATGCAAGTAAGCAAAACCTAAAATTGAGGATTTAGACAAGTATTTGTTACCAGGTAGAGGCTCTGGTCATCATTCATCTGACCAATTTGAAGGCTCTAGAACCTCATCTTCATGGAAAAATGAAGACAAATGAGTGACTTTCAGAGGTTGTCATCCTTTCTTCTGCGGTGGAAGCTGCTAGCATCGGTGGTGTTGTTCACGCGGTGTTGGAGCACAGGCCAAAGAAAGCTGGTTCTGGCGTTGTGATGAGAAAGAGTTTAAAGATAGAGAGGGAGAGACAAAAGGGGATAGTGGTGGTGCTAAAATTGCTCTGGTAGTGGGGATGGGAATGGTCTCTGTGAGGAAAGAGTCGATTAAAATAGGGACAGAGAAAGGGGTGTGAGACCAGGGGAGAGAGGGAGAAAGATAGAAAGAGAGAGAGATTGATTGATTGACTGACTGATAAATGATGGGGGTCCAGTGTGAGTGACAGTGGTTTAAGGAGGTAGGAAAGGTGAAAATGTTGGCTGGGAAAGAAAATTGAATTGGGTGATTGTTGGATCGCTAGATCGATTTTTGATTGATCTAAATTGTTTTTGTGGTTTTTGGGAGTATATTTTTAAATTGAGAGGTGTAATATTATATATATATATCAAAAACATGAA